AACGAATCGAGATAGATATAGACAAATGTATACATAAATGATCAGGATCTGTCTGTCCGTCTGTCCGTCCGTCCGTGTACACGATAACTCGAGCAAAAATTGANTATAAGCAAAACGTTGAAAATTATTGAAATCGGACTAAAATAACGGCCGCTTCTCATATAACGGTAAATTTCAGAAATGCTTGAAACTTCAATATTTCGAAATTGAAGGACGCTAATTTACTCAAAATTGATACACCCCGGCTTACCATCTAGCGGAAGGTTTCGGAAAGGTGAAAAAACATATGTATATTTAATACTTGCGCCGGGTATTTAATGTTCGGCTCCGCCCGAACTTTGACTTTCTTACTTGTTTAATATGTATTGTAAAAAGTGCTTTTATATGCATTTAGAATAAGTGTTTATTTTTTTGTTATTTTAATACTAACCGTTGGTTATATAGGCTGACTTCCAAAACGTAACAATGCATACCGTTGGATACCGTTCTACTACGGTATTTAAACTATTTGTACCTATATGCAGAGATGCGAAACATTGGCTCTGATCTAATTACTATCTAAAGTAGTGTTACCAGTAACTGGGTTAATAAATCCCGTCTAAATACAACCTAAACCCCGTTTTATTCTAAAGAACAGAAATCCCGCGCTGTATGTATCTGTTATACATAAAATGCTTTCGGATGAAAAATACAAGTTTGTATGTACATTAGGGTGCTTCTTTTTGCGACTATTATTATTTTTTCATTCCTACCTCGAAATTTTGTAGAAAACACCTAAAAAAAATCTCCGTGAAAATAAATAGAGAAAAGAGAACTGTTAAATTGCAATCACATTTATCGCACAGAGGTGAAATACTTGTGTATTACTTTCTTATAGTTGCTCCTATTCAACGCAGCTTTGATAGTATCAGGAATGGAATTCCACAGCCTCACAGCATTAACAAAAAATAGCCGAGATGAGGGCAAATAGGAAAATTTAGGGATAATCAGATATTTATGCCTACACGACTTAGGTAATTCTAACTTCTGTTGAAGATATTTCGCGTTTTATGGTATAATCTTGGCCAATGATGGGTTTTCTTCAGAATTCATGAAAAATTGGGTTTAGTGACCCGTGCTACCTCGTTGGTGGGAGTAAGGATTACGCTGCAATGAATGCTTTTGTAGAGCATTAAATTCTGAAAAAAGCCCATCATTGACCAAGATTATACCTTAAAATGCTTCTGAGCTGTACTTTGGAAAAAAAACAGTTACGTGTATTTTATATCGGAAATCTTGCACGCCTTTGGCGAGTACTTAAGGTAAATATTAAGAGTTAAAATCTTCAGGGAGTTTTTTTAATGTGTTTTCCACAAAATTTCGAGGCAGGAGTGCAAAAAACAATAGTCGCCAAAAAAGCACCCTAATGCACATAGATATGCAGTATACATAGGATTTATATACATTAGGGCGGGTAATTTTTTTTGGCTGTGCGCGTATAGCATAAGAGGATTCTACTTGTAACTCGACGCAAATTTGCCGAAGAAAGCATCGGTCTGAAATCAATTAGGAGTTTGCCATATTGCGAAAATAGGCTTAGAAGAACATGTGTCAATTTTTACTGATGTGCCCTCTGGTAGAAGCTTTAAGAAAAAGAGAAATGCAGAAATGGATTCTTCATACTAAAAAACCCCTACAGCATGTTTTTGTACAAAATTTAAGCAATTCTTTACGATACTTCAGCAAAGTGCTAAGAAACATATTTTCACAATTTGGCAAATTCCAAATTGATTTTAGAGCCATGGTTTCTTCGGCGAAGTTGCTTAGAATTACACGTATGTATGTATGTGCAATACGCGCATAGTAGAAAAAATCTCCCATACAAATTTACCCGACATTATATACCTACATATTTTACACAAACAGTCTTTTCATTCGATTTCGCGTTTAAATTGATCAGATTATATTACGTTTATGCCCACGTATTATTTGCAAATAACAATTGCCAAATGGTAATCTTTGCCGTATAAACGCTGAGTTAAATTTTTATTTGCAAATAACTAAATCACGCAAATAAGTATTGATTAGTGGTACTATTTGCAAATAAGCGCAAGACGCCGCCATTTTAGGTTTATTTTCTTTTTCGATGGTCATCTCATTGACTTTTTTAACCAAGACGTTGCCATTTTTACTTTATTTTCCTCTTCGATGGTCATATTATTGCCTTTTTATAATCAGGCAATATTAAAAAATTTGTCTATAGCATAAACAGTGAGTAAAGTATTTGCAAATTATTTTTATTTGCAAATAGCTTACGTATAAACGTAGTAACAGAGGTTACGAACAAGGAAATATTGAGTACTATTTTTTCTTTTAAAACCGAAGCAGTAGAGAAATGCTATTTTTAATTTTTTCTCGAATTATTGAAAAAAAAATATTATAAAAATTAAAATATGGGCATATTTGGTGGAACTGATTATATAAAAAAAAATAATTTTTTATTACATTTGGCGGATTCGAGGTAGTGCGCGCCAAGCGGCGATATGCACCCAAAAAAAAAACTTCTCTTAATTGAAGAAAAACAGGAATCAAAATGAAGAAAAATGGGAACGAAACAGCACTAAAGAAGTATTAACCTCTTTTCATGCCCAACATTTCTTCAAAATGATAGATTACATCCACGGTCCCATATTTTCGTGTACGTTTTTACACATTCCAAAGAAAAATTACGCATTCGGGAGAATTTTTTACTCATTCGGAAGAATTTTCGACCTTAAAGTAAGGAAAGTTTTCTTTGATCCAGAGATGGATTTTTGGTTCAGTGTGTATAAATATTAAAGCAAACAACATTGTATTTATCCGTTTAAATGTAACGCATCGAAAGTGTCCTTTGACCTCATAAAATAAGGTAAATTTATATGTATGTATGTACATACATAGGTATGTATGTCTGTTAATTTTTTGTAAAAAAAAAAAACAGTAATAAGTACTGTTATGAATGTGTCCAAACAACAACAACATGCAGCCTTCAACCCCAATTATTGCAACAATAAACGTATACAACACCACAAATAATAGCAGAACACTGTATGGAAGTCTATGCGTACGCGGAACTAAACTTAACGGCTAAGGTCCTTACTTCAAAGGCATTTATGCAAGCACACCAGGGTATAAAATTACCACTCGAGGATGAATGTTCAATTTCAATCTTAGTTTTCCCGCATATTTTGCTGTTGATGTTACTTCACATATTACAAATCCATGTTCAGATTCAAAGTGCAACGGCTGCTTATCCTTTTGGCGCGCCTTTCAAACACATACATACATATGTATGTACTTACGTTATTTATATCTTTTTTAATGTTATTCCTAACATTCGCATTTGCGAATGTGAAAAATATGACATTCGAAATATCCCTAATACTAATCCCCGTTTAGTGTTCTGGGAAATTGCAGCAGTAATAGCAGTAGCAAAGTCATGCACCGTGTGGTGGCTTGATTTACACGCTAACCAATCATACCCATATAAACCAGGGTTGTTGCGAATATTCGCATTCACATTCGCAACCGCGGAGCTTCCGCATTAACTTTAACATTCGCATTCGCTTTCGCATTCGCAATAATCAATGCGGAGCTTGTGCGAATGCGAATGTTTTGCAAGTGCACCGATAAAACGTATATATGGCAAACAAAATGACAAACATTTTTGCCTGTGGTCGTAGGAGTATTTGTGTAACAAAACTGGTCAAATGTTATATTTATCAACTTTGATAAAAATTTCGTTAAACATATTATTTCTTAAGCTATATAACGGAGGTGTAAATGGGCAGTCATTCAAGTTCCCACTTCTACTTGACCTTTGACGAACGTCAATGAGATCATAGTCCTTTTAATAATATATATATGTATGTATATTTTTTTCTGTGCTTTGGTTTCTTTCTTTATTATGATTTTTTGCACCAATATTAAAGAAACGACTTTGGGGAATTTATTTGTAGCAAAAATTTTAAAAACAGTAATTTTGTTTACTAGTCGGGCTATATTTTTTTCATAGGGATATATGTACATTGGATCCTTGGCTAAAAGCTTCTGTGGTAAAACTAACCCTTCTTTGCTATATAAACTCAAAGAGTAAGCTCCTTCAATAGGGATTTCCAGCAGAAATGATCAATGTCTGGCTATGAAGAGAATTTATGCTCAAATAACTAAAAATCGATAGGTCTGAACTTTAATTAGATAAGAATTACGTAACTATCTGAGATTTGCCTTTAAAAAGGGGTGCTTTAAAAAAAAATAACAATATTCTGATCCGATTCGGCTGGCAGCCACGACATTGAAATCAGAATTTTGTTAAAAATTTTGATTCCTGAAATATAATAATTTATTTTCGATATCCACCTACTTAGCTCGCTATAAACACAAATTTTTCAAACCAGTCGCAGAAGAAAGTATTAAAAATGAATTACTGAAACTGAAATCGAAAAACGATGATAAAGTTACAGATTCCCCAAATTCTGAAAGAGCCAAAGGAGTGAGAATGAAGAATACTTTTTAAAAAGTTTCAGAATAACCTGACACATCTGGTTTGGCTTGTAAGCGCTATTTAAACAACGATCTCGCCATTATGATAGATTCCAATTATTTCATAAAAATACTTGGCATCCGCATGCCGGATGTTAGCTGTTAGATATTCCCATCCGCTTTCGCATCCGCGGATGTCTAAAATTCCACATTCGCAACATCCCTAATATGAACATACATGTGTACGTATGTACATCTCGTTAAACGTGCAAAGAGCCTTGCCTCGTAGATAGAGTTCTGTGATTGAAGGGAAACCGTTGCATGTACAAATCGTATGCAAGTATATATGTATGCATGAATCAGGGATGAAAAAGTAGGTACAATCGTATCTTTTCCCGGCGTCAATTTCTTCATTTTAGGTATGTATGTTCATATTTACAATTACCTTTTAATCAGATGCAGTTTTAGTTCTTGCCTTTTACTAATTTAATTAATTGAAGGAACTGGAAGAGCGGTTGCCTGTTGGCTATCTGATGAGCCATAATCATCTATGCTCTCACATGTACCGGATTGGTATTTCCACAGAGACGGATTGTCGCCTTTGTACTGAACACATTATGTGTGATTGTCCGGCTTTGGCCAGACTAAGACTGCAATGCTTCAAATCGATGCCCTTAAGGTTAGTAATTCGTCAACCAATAAACTTTTAACATTTATAAGGCAAGCTCTTAAAATTTTGGTCCGTCAGGGTTAGGAACCATCACAGTTATACAAAAGATCTTCTAGGTCGCGGTGTCCCTTTTCGTTACACCCAACACATTTACATTACAATGAGAAGAGCTTCTACTGGACTTAATGGGTTTTATAACTAAGCGGCATATTTTTACTCTTTCATACAAAAATTAATAAAAAACTGTATTTAAACTTTTTAAATAAAACCCTTGGACGTGAAGGGTTAAAATAATATTTTCTTTGCAAAAATTTTCGAAAATCATATTGCAATCAAGAAAACCAATGTTTTTTAATCATCTATTTGTTTAGCCAGTTAGTTTTGGTCAGAAAAACAGGCATTTGGACCATAGAGGATTGTAAGGAATTCGATTCAAACTGAACATTTCAAAACCCACTTACAAGTACTAGCGCTGTATGAGTGTGTGGAGGGTGCTTGATATTATTTTTTAGCTTTCAGAAATTCCATGGTTCGAAAACCGTCAGATGGTAAATGTTAAAATGATAAGAAAATTTAGTTTTGTATTTCCGTGCTATGAAAAAGCATCTATGAAGTGCAGAACGAAAGCGTATTCAAACAAAAAATCACCAAACAAAAGACTGTTTAAGGTAAAGAAAAGTTCGCTTGGAGCTAAATCATATTTTTTTTCTCAGTGTATTTATTATATTCGCCCATACCAGGCTTTGATAGTTCTTGAATTAAATGATTTAAAGGACTAGTTCATCTCAATGTGTAAGAATTATTATTCTGTATATTCTGTAGTATATGTTGTTGTATTGTGTATTTTATTGTTGTAAATTGAATAAAAAATATAACCCCCTAGCCAGATAACCAAGAAAGTGTGAACAACCCAACTGAAAATATGTCGAGATATGGCGTTTTCGAACTGGAGCGCCGAGATAGATCGATCTTCCACTTAGGTGTCGATATGTAAATTTATTCGTCAATGGAACCAAATAAACTTAAGAACTAGTTCACTAAGGTGAACGAACTAGAACTGAACGGTTCACTCAAAAGCACTAAAGTGTCAACTCTGGCGCATACAGTACTGACTCCATTAATTCCTTAGAATTTCTGTGACTGAAAGGGTAGCTGTTTTACCCATATTCGCTTTGAGATATCTGGAATTATATATCTTTTAATTACGACAATTTCTCTTACCGCGAACAAACATTAGACTTGTTGGCACCTATTCAAGGGGAGAGGAGAAATTAACAATTTTCTCGTATTGTTGTACAAAAGGCCGAACAAAAAGTAAACTATGCAAGGTGTGTTTTTTTTTGTCTTCTCCTCAAATTTTCTTTAAAATTGATCAGTCTTCAAAAAGATATTTCGATTCTTACAAGTGAAGATATCAGCTCAGTTCCTACACTACAAATGAATGATACAAGTTTTTTTAGGTACACTCTGGCCATTTAGGTACATTTAGTTTATGATATTAGGTACGATGTGAAATTCCCATTTTTCATCACTGTTGTGTATAAACATGTGAGACTAGGTTAGGTCACATGATAGTACCTACTGGTGACACTATTCTTGAGATAACAGCAGGCAATAACGTTTAGGGCAAGAGCAATAAAAAGAACAATAGCAAGCGATTTATGTATTGAAAATTGTAACGTTCAATAAATTGGCGCGCTTTGTAGCAGAATTATGGCAAACTACATACTTACTTACATACGTACATACCTGTTATTGGCATTCTTGCTAAGGGATATACCTGTATGCATTGGATGCGAGCGTGCTTTTTTTAAGAATCCTCATTTTCGTTGTTGGCATTTTTAGAATCCCTTAATAACTGCTCGCATTTTATAGGACAGAATATTCACTTTTCCATATTAGGTACTAATAGAATTCTCTGTAGTTAGGCACATACTGGTGTAGGTTTTGGAAACGATGCAAGAGCAGTTAATAAGGCTGAGAAATCGTATCTAAAATAATCATAATGTACACAAGGTAAGACATTTTTATTCGTTATGAATACGGATGCCAGACGTACTGATTTTATCAATACAGTACTGATTTTTCAACTCTCGTACTGATTTTATTTATTTCTTCAATCAGTTCGGTAATTTTTCCAATGTATTTTGTTTGTGTAAAATAATATTACAATAATATTAGGATTTTTTAAGGTTTTTACATAATTTTGGAACTGCCTTAAACTGTATTGTGAAAAGTAAGAAAAGAAAACATAATTTAATTATAGTTGACATATTTCAGACAATTATTTTAAAATTGTCAATATTAATTAAAATTTTTTCATATGCGCAAGAAATTAGTGCTACCACAAGTAATTTTTAAGCAAAAAACAAAACCGACTTCAATTCTCATATAATAATTTAAGATTATCGATAATTTCTTCATGATAAAATGATCGGATTTAAACCAAATTAGTATGGACACCTGTGAGGTAACACCTTTTCTTAAAAAAAAAAAAAATATAGAAATGGGTTAACGTGGTCCGAAGTTATGCGGTAACATACATCAAAAATATTCCGACGAATTGATAACCTTCTCATTTTGTGAAGTCGGTTAAAAAGAACAATGGTTTTAGGGGCATAAGACCGAGTCCTCACGTACCAGTTGCGATAATATTAAGGAGTATAATTTTTTAAAAAGAGGGCTGACGTTTTTACGTCGAGTGTTGTTAGTTATCTCGAAAATATATTTCGGTTTAATATCAATAAACTTGAATAATTGAATGGCTTGTGCCTACAACTTACAATTCATTTTCCTCAATTTACTGACATTGTAAAATAGTTTTGCATACAGGACACCAGGATATCTTAAATACTCTTTTTTTTAGCGAATTCTAAGCCTTTCAAAGTTTTTGCGCAGTTGCAAAAATATATATTTTGCCACGAATGAATGAAGTCCTTAAATAGTGGTACATACGTTTTCACAGTTTGAAAAGATACGCCATTTGTTTTTCGGTACCACACTCGAACGAAGCAACTGATAGGATTTTAAGTATAAAGTTTGCTTTCTGGCGCAAAGAGACTTCTAATTAAAATTGTTGAAAGTGAACTCCAAATTAAAATTAATTTTAAAATGAAATATAAATAATTCTTTCACTCTTTAAACACTGAAATTAAAGTGATCTCATTACAACAAGTACATTTTGAGCAAATAAGTAATTTTTAATCAAAAAACAAAACCGACTTAAATGCATATACAAATTTAAAGCGTACCATTAAGTTCTGCATGATCACATGGGACCACCATAGAGGTACCCCTTTTCCGATGACAAAAGAATTATCGAAATCGGTTAACGCGATCCAAAGTTATGCGGTAACATACATAAAAGAATATTCCGACGAATTGATAACCTACTCCCTTTTTTGAAGTCGCTTGAAAATATCATAAATATGTATCAAATAATTTATTGGCGCTTGTGTACAATTATATTAGAACGATATTTTGCGCTAACCACATGTTAATATGTGTTAAAATGAATAAAATTTTTATTTTTATGAACTACATTTTCTTTATACATGTATGAAGTTATATAAGATATTGTTAAAAAACAGGTACTCTCTCTTTTTAAAGTATTACTTACATTCTTTATTTTGCTTTGAATAAAAGTGTACTGAAAAGTACTGTATTTTTAGTTGAAAAAGCCAAATGGACTGATTTCGCGAACAAATTTGGCAACCCTTGTTATGAATTGGTTTTAGAAGTTCAAAATAAAGTGCGCCTTCAGCATTTAATACTTATCGCTTCCAGGAATCGGGTATTACTCATATGGGTACCGGGACACAGCGCTGTCATAGGCAATAAAGTGACAGATATTCTCGCCAGAAATGGGGCTGCACAGGGATTCATAGGTCCAGGACCCTTTTTGGTCTGCCATGGAGCTCGGTTAAGCGGAACTTCTATATCTGGATGAAGACCGAAGCGCAATATTATTGAACAAATACGGAAGGTAATAGACAGGCTAAGGTTAAAAACATAGTGGGGCGGCAAACAAAGAGCATCGAGCAAAGCGTCGATTTCTAACGAATTGATACAGGTGTTCTTTCTGGCAACTTCAGGGTAATGAAACACATTAGACTGCATCACTCCCCATAAAAAAAAAAAATCGGTACTGTGTTTCCATTATAATTATAAAATATTTCGGAAAAATATTAAGATTTACGTGAACTGGACCGATTTGAAAATACCTCCATCTTAAAGATTTTTTTTTAAATTGCATAAAAATATTTTTACAAAATTTTTTAAAATTTTGAATGGAATCGTAATAATCAGATTTTTGCTGCTGTTTTTTATATATTTTTTAAAGATTTGTATAACAAAAACTTGAATAACTGAACCTAAACTCTTCCGATTTAGACT